AGGATCGTTTTGGTTTTGGGTTTGTTTTGTAAAATATCTGATATATCACCAGCTGCTTATTAAAATACTGCAGCGGCTTCTCATTGTTCTTTGCATAAAGACCTAACCTCTTATTGTGGTCTTTTGGACCTGTGTGGCCCAGCCTCTTGCTGCTTCCAGCTTCTTTTTTGTTTGGTTGGCTGAGTTTATTTATTTGTTTGTTAATCCTCACCCAAGGATATTTTTCCATTGATTTTTAGAGAGAGTGCAAGGGAGGGAAGGAGGGAGAGATAAACATTGATATGAAATAGACACATCGATTGGTTGCCTCTGGCACAACCCCGAGGCCAGGGATTGAACCTGCAACCCAGGTATGTGCCCTTGACCAGAATCAAATACACAACCCTTGGGTCCACGGGCTGACACTCTAACCACTGAACAAAACCATCCAGTGCCCAACCTCATTTTATACAGTGCTCTCAACCTTGCATATGCTTGTTCTTGTGCTGCAGATACACTCCTCTTACTGTTTTCTTTTCCACACCCTTCTTTTATGTCTATTTTGGCTTTGGATACCAACTCAGTCTCACTTCCTAAGGAAGCCTATGACTTTACTGGCTAAGGTAGTTCCCTCATTATAAACCCTCACCACATCTCTCTTTTTTCCTCTGTGACGTTTATTACCACTATAACTTTATACTTATTTGTGATTCTTTCATTATTACCAGTCTTGTCCACTAGATTGTAAACCCTATAAGCTCTGTGCCTGGTTTTGTTCACCATTGCATTCATGCCTGCCACTACTAACCTGATGTATGGAAGGTGTTCCATCTGTATTAGTTGAATGAATGAAAGAATGAATGAATTATACATATTGTAGCATATTAAAAAATTAAATGTAGTAAAGCGAGATCATAAAGCATTATAGAGTAAGAAAAATACCTCAGATATCAAATAGTCCAGGTTTCTTTCTCATGTGTTATTGTCAGAGGCTCTGCAGCTTCTCAAACATCTCTATTAACAAGGGACTCAGCATTAACAGAGGCAGCTCTGCTTTTTAAATTCTTCATGTTGAGCCCAAATTGGCCTGCTATATTTGCTGTTCATTAGTATCAATCTGTAAAGTGGTCCCTAGTAGGTCTACCTCCTATCCGTACAGAACCTTTTCAAATGAATAGACACTATCACGTACTCCTTCAGTCTTAGTTCTCCCAACTCTTCCCCTCACACACTGTGCTTCTGCGGTGTTGGTTCTGGAAGAGGCTGTGTCCTCCTTTCTTCTCCAAACCATCACACACATTGTTTCTTCTTTGGAACACCTGTTTCACTTCCCCTTTCTTCTTCAAGTCTGCTGACTACTTCCTCATTATCCTTTAGGGCTCAGGGAGGTCTCTGCGAGGTCTCCTCACCCCGTTATGTTAGTTGCCCCTCCTCTGTGCTTTCACAGCCCTTGTTTATCCCCTGAAGTAGCTCGTGCCTCATTTTATTATGATTTTTAATCCCAACTGTATTATCCACACAAAAGGAACCACAGTTCACAGTGCTCATCATGTTATCCTCTAACACTGTGCCTGACACATAGTAGCATTCACTGTATTTCCGACTGAAGAAATTTGAGAACATCAACTTTACCATTCTCCTAGCTAACATCCATTGTTTGTTCTTTTCAGCCATGCATGATTTTACCATCTTCTGGATATGCTGCAGCTTGTCAGTGTCCTTCCTTGAGAGAGGCACTGAGAATAAATACAGTGCTCCAGTTGAAGTGTGACCTGGGCTCCATGAAACATATTATCTCTCTAGACTTAGAGCCCGAGGGGAGGGGGGCACTTTTGTGCTCAGGTGCAAATTTTCTTACTCTCTTGGTTGTGTGTGTGTGTGTTTAAGGGTGTTAATGAAGTGAATTTACAGAAGAGGTGTTTTGGAAATAATTATTAATTTACTCAAGCTGTTAATGTATTCTCCAGCTTGGTACCTACAGTCTTAAGAGAAAATTAATGGTTGGAAGGTGTGCTTTTCTGACTGCTCTCTTGATTTCTGTTAACCAGTCCACTACAGTTTCCTTTCTGCACCTTTTCAGTAATGCATTCTGAAAGTGGCAGGTGTTTTAATGATATATGATGTTTGGGGTGGGGGCTAGGAAGATTGCTTAACTTTTGTTATTTTGGGAGGTAGAAAGGAAACAGTATTTATAGGAGTTATATATGCTGGTGCAGGAGGGAGGGCTTTGAGAGATAGAAGGAGAAACAGAGTAGAAGAAAGAGAAAATAGGAGTTGAGATAAAATAGATGGCAGAAAAATAGTAAGAGAACGTAATTTTGTGATCAGTTGATCACCTACCATGAGCTTCCACAGTGTTATATATGTTACTCATGTTGTCTCGGCCATACCAATGACTATGGAAAGTAGACATTATTAACCTCATTTTATAGAAAAAGTGACAGTCTGAATCATACAAGTACTGAATGGCAGGATTTTTCCAACCTGGCTCTAAAGCAGCACTGTTCTAATTTGACTGAGCAAATAGTTTTGTTAATGAGATGAAGCAGATGGAGAGTCACTATAGACTCTAGAGCCCATGGGCCTGCGTTCAAATCCTGGCTCTATCAAGGCTCTAAGGCCTACTGGCTCTGGTACCTTCGCAGGTTGCTTCATCTGTCTCCCTCATTCTCCTCATTTGTAAAGTCAGGATAACCGGGGTACCTTCTTCTTCGAGTTGTTGTGAATTAGTTTTAGTTGATATAGAAAAATGCTTAGAACAGTTCCTGACATATATAAAGGACTGTAAGTGTTTGTTGCTGCTGCTGTTGTTAGTAATTTGTGTGCATGTCCCCCGTGAAAGGTCTTATCTCTGAGAAGTTTGAGGAAGGTGTTGTAAGAATTGTTGCCAGGGCTGTTTCATCAGCCTGACTTGGTCAGATTTGTCTCAGGGTTCTTACTGTGTTATCATACCCTTCATCCCTAACCAGACTTAAGCCCCAGAATACACACACACACACACACACACTCTCTCTCTCTCTCTCTCTCTCTCTCTCTCTCTTTCACACACACACAACCTCACCTTCCTCTTTTCCCTTGCTAGAATTAGGAGCCAATTTAGACCTTCTCTTTATTATTATTATACAGAAATGGAAGAATAAAGATTCACCTTAGTTAATACATAAAGATAAGTAACGTAAGTTAAAATTTGTAGTTTAAGGCAAAAATATTAAAAAGAGCTCCCACTGTAAATTGTCTTTTTCTAAAATAGGATGCTTTCTACTGTGACACAGTTTAATTACCTTAATTTAACTTTCTTTCCTAGGAAATTAGAACTTATTTTTAAATATTTTTTCTTTATTGATTTTAGAGAGACAGGAAGGGAGAGAGAGAGATAGAAACATCAATGAGAAAGAACATTGAATGGCCGCTTCCTGCATGCCCCCCACTGGGGATTGGGCCTGAAACCTGGGCATGTGCCCTGACCAGGAATCAAACCTGCAACCTCTTGGTGCATGGGTTGATGCTCAACCACTGAGCCACACCGGCCAGGCAGAACTTACTTTAAAAATTATTAACCCTTCTAACTTGCTGAAGATCAGTTACTAGATTGAGGAGAAAATCTAAGTGGAGAAATAGCTATAACTTCACTTTGTAAAGAGTCTGAAGAGCTCTCTTATTTTGGAAGTAATGAAAGAGCAAGAACGGGGGCGCCCTTTCACAATTTCTGTTTGGAGGCATGAGGAGCAAAGATTTTTTAAGTAATAGACTAACTCATCAATTGAGGCTTAATTAACATAATTAATTTTAATTGGTTTGTTCAGAATTCACCACAGAAGTCTTAATAATTCAATGAAATATTATAATAAAATTATTACCACAATGAAGAATTACATTTGTGTATTATTTATATATGCTGTAATATAATCTGTTTGATTTGTCATGAACATTGTTCTAAGTATTAATTTATTATATTACCCATAGTTTTCTTTTTTCAATGATGCCAATTAATTCTTGTATGCCGCCCATTTGCAATAATTAAAAATAAAACATCAAAATAGTGTATCCCAGGAAAGTATTTCTGGCCTTAGTTATAGTAGAAATTATAAAAGTTCAATACTTCTAGCAAAAAAATAAGACATTCTAAATCAAAGCCTCGTTGTCTAGAATGATAATACTTTGCATAAATAATAGGGAATGGCATGATATTTGCTCATGGCATTCATTTCCATTTTACTTCTGAAATAAATGTTTAAATCATTTGGATTAGGTTTAATCCTTTCATTCTCTGAGCTTCTTTTCTAGCTATGAAGACTGAAATCATTTTTTATCACTCCCTTTACCACCATCATCAAATAAGATCTCTTCTACAGTTTGTATTCATTTTAGTTGCTATCAGTTACTGTAAGCAGTTTAAAACTATGGGTTCCCCCCCTGGCCGGTTTGGCTCAGCGGTTGGAGCATGGGCCTGCGGTCCGGAGAGACCCGGGTTCATTTCCCTCTAAGGGCGCAGTACCTCAGTTGCAGTTTGTCCCCGGCCCTGGTTGGGTCATGCGAGTGGCAACCACTCATTGTGTCCCTTTCATGTCGATGTTTCTCTCTCTCTCTCTCTCTCTCTCTCTCTCTCTCTCTCTCTCTCTCCAATCCCTCTATCCTTTCCTCCTCCCTCCCTCCCTCCCTCCTCCCTTCCACTCCATCTGAACAAAAAATGGAAAAATGTCCTCCAGTGAGGATAAGTAAAAAACAAAACTATGGGTTCCTCTTGTTATCAGAGCAAATGGATGCTGTTGGGAGGTAGGGTATAGACAGTGGGACAACCCAGAGAGAGGAGAAAGCCAGATCATCAAGCCTTAGAGTGTGCAATTGTCACTATTAAAACTAGCCTTTGCTGAACTCAGGGTTTCCTCCTATTAATTCTTGCTTTCCCCAGTCCTATTTCAACAGGTTCCTTTGTCTGATTTGAGAAGCATACTTTTTGCTAACATAATCTGATCTTATGATATGAAAGTATATTAATCTTTTTTTATTTCATTTGTTGACAGGGGGCTTGTACAAGACAGCCGTAATAACCTCCAGTTGAGGGGCTTGGTGGTACTACTTATTTCTAAAGCAGCTGGGCCCAGCAGAGTGAAGGCCTCAAGTCAGAACTATGACCTGGTTAGTGGGATCTATTCATGGTAAGAAATATTCTTTGACATTGGTTTCTAAATTATGTTTTATTTTATTGAACAGTGATAGCAGAAGTCACTGTTTAGTTCTTTGTCATTCTCTGATTCAAAGGTAGACTACAATATTTTGTTAGCTTTTAAAAATATGGATTTTTATTGTTAACAAATCTGATGGTCTTGGCTGCTCCATGCATAACTCTGGTAAATTTACCCATACATGTGTGTCAAAAACTTGCATTACTACCCTGGGCATTTAAAATTTCCTAATTAGCCCTGGTTGGTTTGGCTCAGTGGTTGGAGTGTCTGCCGGCAGATCAAAGAGTCATGGGTTTGATTCCAATCAAGGGTACGTACCTGGGTTGCAGGTTCAATCCCCGGCCCTGGTTGGGGTTGTGTAGGAGGCAACCAATTGATGTGTCTCTCTCACACTGATGTTTCTCTCTCTGTCTCCTTCCCTTCCTTCCACTATATCTAAAAAAATCAATGGAAAAATGTCTTTAGGTGAGTATTAACAAAAAATAAAAAGTAAAATAATATTTTCTATTCAGCCCAGGCAGTGTGGCTCAGTGGATTGAGTGTTGTCCCATGGACTGAGAGATCCCAGTTTGATGCCCAGTCAGGGCACACGTCCAGGTTGCGGGCTCCATCCCCAGTAGGGGGCATGCAAGAGGCAGCCGATCAGTGTTTCTCTCTCACATCGATGTTTCTCTCTCTCTCTCCCCTAAAAATATCAATAAAAATATATTTTAAAAATAAATAAAATAAAATTTTCTATTCATCACTACTCCTCCTCCCTCATCATGGTATCATCATTATATCTCTGTAGAGACATCTCTGTCACTTAGTGTAGGATTTTTTATGTTTTTCATCCTACTCAAACTGATATATAGTTGTAAAATAATGATGCAAGTACCATTTTAGCAGAAGTAGTCTACTTCAGTACTATATCATTTATTTTATTTTGCTTATTTTTATGGTGAAGAGGTTTTTACTAAAGTTACTGGAATTAGAAATTCTTACATCTCACCCATTTAGATTAAAAATAAATTTATGAGTATGTATTAGTAATTGCATATAAAGTTGTTGCATATAAAACAAACTTAACATTTTTATTTTGTTAAAAAATTACTGCATATATTTTAGTAATAGTATATCAACAATAACTTTATTTAATCTTAGCAGAGTGCTTGGCACTGTGTGAAAAGCATCTATAGAAGTAACAATCTGCAGGTGGACATGAAATTAAAACCACCCTAAAAACTTGGCTGACAAGGAAATTTTTCTCACAAAAAGAAGCATTTCTAGAAACTTTGACTTATGGCTGATGTATCTTATTGATTTCATTTAAAAATCAATCCACGTCTTAGATTTTTGTTGTTGTTGTTCCTAGTGGTCTTATCCATAAGTGTTTTGTTCTTTTATAATATTTAGAAATGACTGTTGCTTGCCAGCTACAAAGTCCAGTCATCCTTCATCATTAATAAGCAAAATGTATTACTATTGTGGCTACAGATGACCCCTCCTCCAGCCAGGATAATTTTTGCAGCCCTTTTACCATTTATCCATATAAGTATCTTCACTAAAAGACATATCTTGGGATCATTTTTAGTTTTTATTCACTCTGAAATAATTTATATTTTTTAGTGTTTGGTAGGTTATTGATTATTTTTATGACAGTGATCCTATTTAAGCCATAAAATAATTCTGTAGGTTTCATGTTACTTATTCTACTCCTGCGAAAACAGATTAAAAGTCTTGAGACTTGCCCTGGCCAGTGTGGCTTAGTTGGTTGGGCATTGTCCAGTGCACCAAAAGGTTGCTGGTTTGAATCCCAGTCAGGGCCCACACCCAGGTTGTGGTCTTGATGCCTGGGTTGCGATCTCTATCCCTGGTAGGGGGTGGGCAGGAGGCAGCCAATTGATGTTGCGCTCTCACATTGATGTTTCTCCCTTCTCTCTTCCTCTCTCTCTAAAAATCAATAAACTATTCTTTTAAAAAATCTGGAGACTTTTTCAAGATGGCACCACTGACAATTGAGGAAAGTTGAGGCTCTAACTATAGTTTACTTACAAATCTCATGTGTTTTTCTTCTTGATTCCATTCTGATTTTCTAGTCTGATTCAAATAATTTATTTCACTTGTGGATTAGACTAACCATTAAATGAATATGCCCCCAAAAAGTCTTCTTGTATTTCTTTGAAAAACTCCTGATTGAAAGAAACTTAGCAAATCTTTAATACACCTACATCCCTCCCCCAAACTGTTTGAATTAGAGGTCAAAACTTGACCTTGTAAATTTTGTAGGAAGCTCTTGCCTGAGATTAGTTGAAATAACTGAGAAAACACATAAGGATCTATAATAAATACCAATAACCTGTTAATCCCTGGAAAGCCAATAGACTTCACATCACCTTGTATCCCATGTATCTCTGCTTCCTATTAGGAATTCCTTTGGTTTTCAGTCTGCTGATTTTGACCATTTTATTGATCAGTCATCTGTTCTTGCAACTGGGTAATCATATACCTCTAATGAACACTAGCCAAGTTTCATTATCTCTGAATCCAAAATAACCCATGTAAAATACTATTTAACACGTAACAGGTGTTCAATAAATATTTGTTGTATAAGTGAATCAACCCCATTTTACAGAAAAAGAAGCTACAGTCGTCCCTCGTTTATCGTGGTTAATCCGTTCCAGACTCTAGCGTTTGTACCTGGCATTGAAGATTTCCTGCCTGGGGTGCTCAAATACATAGGCCTACAGTCCATACGTACAGTAATTTTAATTGTAATTGTAATACAGGGGTGTATAATTGACTCAGAAAACCGAGCACGCACTGTATCATTTTCACTGTCTTGATCAACTTTTTAATGAATGTATTTGAGAAAACGCCATAGAGTGAAGCCGTGAAAGTCGAAGTGCGAAGTGGCAGGGACGACTGTAATACTAGTAAGACTTCTCTAAAATCCTTTAGGTAAAAGTGGGAATTAAATTCTGGTTTTACTCTAAAGTATGTACCCTTTCTATTAGGTAGGTGCTCTTATCTATACGCATACAGTACACTGTGATGTGACCTTGTGTTTCAGATTTCTTACCTAGTCTCCAAGAACTAGCTGCATCACCTTCTGAGCCTTCACCGGAACATATGCATTTGGTAAATGGTCATTGTAACACGAGCAATTATAAAAGAACTTTGCAAAAGAGTAGGTGGTGCATTATGAATATAAAAATTTTCCAAATAATGTAATACCCAAGTGTATAGAATCCATAATTACATTTAGGGAATAATCCTGGTTTCGGGCTATTTTCTGTAATTAAACTTGATCCAGTATGTTATTGGTGATGCTTGGGTGTTTTATACACTTGTTAATGTGAAAACATAATTTGGCATAGTACTATGAGAAACCATTAATTTGTTTCTCTTTCTCTATCCCTGAAGTCATTTGTTTGGCTTCTGCTTTCTTAATTGTTCAAGTGTAACTTTTGCTGGAGGCTTGTATCTATAATGCAACAGTGAATTATTTAACATTTGGGTAAAGTACTGACTGGGGAGCTTTTTAAAATTCACCTCCAAACTCCTGGGATTTACATTGTTGGCGTTTTTCTCTCATAAACTTGACTTTGATGTCAGATAATGGGACCTGAGTAAATTACCTAAGGGAAAAGGTAAGTTAGGTGACCTCTTTTGTTTGGCCTAAGGATATAACTGATGGATAGGTTTATCCAGTGAACTTATTATATGGCCAAGAAAGGCAGAATTTAGGTTAAAATGTAATTTTGAAAAACAGGTAAGGGAGCCACATTTATAAAAATGTACTATAAACATCTACCATAGCCTTTTGCCAAGAAGACTATGGGCTGTATGTTTATTCCACCAGTCCTGAGTTTAGATAGCAGAGGGGAGGGGATTTGGGAGGATTGGATGAAAGAAGGCGAAGAGATTAGTGAAAGAACGTGTGTGCATAGCCCATGGACACAGACAACTGGGGAGAAGGCGGGAGAGGGGGAGTGAGTAGCTGAGGGCAAAGGAGGCTGGAAATGGGGAACATCTGTAATAGTGTCAACAAGAAAAATAAATAAATAAGGTAATCAGGCCCTGGCCGGTTTGGCTCAGTGGTTAGAGCGTCGGCCTGCGGTCCTGAGAGACCCGGGTTCGGTTCCCGCTAAGGGCATGTACCTCGGTTGCAGTGTGTCCCCGGCCCTGGTCGGTTGTGCGGGTGGCAACCACTCGATGGGTCCCTTCACATCGATGTTTCTCTCTCTCTGTTCCTCTCTCTCCCTCCCACTCTACCTGAACAAGGGATGGAAAAATGTCCTCGGTTGAGGATTAAAAAAAAAAAAAAAAAAAAAAATAAGGTAATCAGTCAAAAAAATTACTAAATTTAATGTAAAAGTATCCTTAGCCACTCCCGAGAAATAAGTTTCTAACTTCCTGTTCTGTTAATAATAGGATACTCTTATGTATTAAAGAATAGATATTTACATTATACAGGATGTCTGTAGATTCTATTACATTTTGAAAATGAAATATATTTTAATTAACACTGGCTTTATAATTATTCAAAGTTGTATATACATTTTCTAGGACACCCTATATAAAATATAACATTTCAAAGTATAGACTTCTCTAATGTAACATGATTATTAAGTTTAAAAAATTTTAGGTGAATTTTTTTGACTGATTCATATTTCTCCGTTGTTTTAACAATAATTGACTCAGTTATTTTTCATCTAACTAGCAGTTGTAAACAGACCACATGTTTTCACCCTACCTTCATTGCCTGAAATTTCCCAGAGCCTATTATTAACTCTAGTAGAAGAGGTTGAAACATATCTGCCAAATACATTTTCTTTTCTTTTTCAGTATTCAGCTAGACTATATTTGCCAACTTCACACATCTGTACATCTTGCCAGTGCCTTGGACATAGTATTCACTTAAATCTTTAGATAACTAAATCTTCTGTTAACATAAGTGTCCTAGACCAAAATAAACATTTGAATCACAC